TTACTTTTGTGTATGGGGTTAGACAGTGATCCAGTTTCATTCTCTTACATGTAGCTGTCCAGTTTTGCCAGCACCAGCTGTTGAAGAGGCTGTCATTTCCCCATTGTATGTCCATGGCTCCTTGATCGTATATTAATTGACCATATATGTTTAGGTTAATATCTGGACTCTCTATCCTGTCCCACTAGTCTGTGGCTCTGTTCTTGTGCCAGTACCAAATTGTCTTGATTGCTGTGGCTTTGTAGTAGAGCTTGAAGTTGGGGAGCGAGATCCCCCCCACTTTATTCTTCCTTCTCAGGATTGCTGTGGCTATTTGGGGTCTTTGGTGTTTCCATATGAATTTTAGAACTGTTTGTTGCAGTTTGTTGAAGAATGCTGTTGGTATTTTGATAGGGATTGCATTGAGTCTGTAGATTGCTTTAGGCAGGATGGCCATTTTGACAATATTAATTCTTCCTAGCCAGGAGCATGGGATGAGTTTCCATTTGTTAGTGTCCTCTTTAATTTCTCTTAAGAGTGTCTTGTAGTTTTCAGGGTTATAGGTCTTTATAGGTTGCCTTTTCGCTCTGTTCATAGTTTTATTTCTTGTGCTGAAGCTTTTTAGTCTAAGGGACTCCTGTTCATCATTTTTGCATTTATTGCTTGTACTTCTGGTGTCGTATCAATGAAATCATTACCATGCCACTGTCATGAGAATGTTTCCACTGTGTTTTCTTCTAGGAGTTTTACAGTTTCAGGTCTTATGTTTGAGTTTTTATCATTTGAGTTGACTTTTTGTGAATGGTATAAAATAGCATCAAAAATAATAAAATACTTAAGAATAAAGTTAACTAAGGAAGTGGAAGACTTGTACACTGAAAACTGCAGCACAAGAAGCTAAAGAAGATGTAAAATAGAAAGACATCCCACATTCCTGGATTAGAATTAATATTGTTAAAATGTCTATGCCACCCAAAGTGACCTACAGATACAATGCAATTTCTATCCAAATCCCAATGAAATTTCTTACAGGTAAAGAAAAACAATTCTAAAATTCATATAGAACCACAAAAGACCCAGAATAGCCAAAACAATCTTGAGAAAGAACAAGGCTGGAAGCATCTCACTTCCTGATTTCAAAATATAATCCAAAGCTACAGTAATTAAAATAGTATGATACTAGTGTAAAGATAGACATATAGGCAAATGAAA